TCGTCATCATCATGATCATGATCATGATCATGATCATGATCATGATCATGATCATCATCATCATCATCATCATCGTCATCGTCATCGTCATCGTCATCGCCATCGTCATCACCATCATCATCATCATCATCATCAGCATCAGCATCATCATCATCATCAGCATCAGCATCAGCATCAGCATCATCATCATCATCATCATCATCATCATCATCATCATCATCATCATCATCCCGATCCTGATCTGATCCTGATCCAGATCCAGATCCTGATCCTGATCTCCCTCCTCCTCCTCCTCCTCCTCCTCCTCCTCCTCATCATCATCATCATCATCATCATCATCATCATCATCATCATCATCATCATCATCATCATCATCATCATCATCATCATCATTCTCCTCATCATCCTCATCCTCATCATCCTCATGCTAATCCTCATCCTCATCCTAATCCTCCCCCCCCCACCCAGGACGGCGACTCCTTTTCACGATGCGCGTGCGCGCCGCCGCCAGGGGGCGCGCCTCCCAGCACCGCGCGCGCGCTCGCGCGCGCCGAGGCCCCTCGGACGCGACCGTGGCCACCCCGGCGGCGACCGGCGGCGCGCCGCGGCCAGCCCCGCCCCAGGGTGGTTCCGGGAGGGGCGGGGGGAGCTGAGGGCCGGACCAGGGTCGGGTGAGGGGCAACGGTAGGGAGGGACGAGGTTCGAGGTTTGAAGTCGAGGCTCGACGTTCTCGGACGTTTTCGCTGGTCTCTGCTGCGGGACGCCTTCCAACGGCCGGACCTCGCCGAGAACGTTCCCGGGAGGCTCGGATCGTCCAGTCCGGATGGGCCGCTGGAGGGCGGAGCGGAGACCGGAGAATCGAGGGGATCAGCTCGGGGAGGAAGCATCGACCTGGCAACTGCGATGCACTGCCGATGGTAGGGCAAGAATGATGACATGATTAGATTGGCTCAGGATGCGTCCCAGGATTTCCAGCGTTTCTAGCGGCGCGTCCAGTGCCGAGCATGAGGAAATGTGGGACATCCTGGAAACCTTGGGAATACTGGAACGTATCATTATCATGACCTCTCGCTCCTCTGAAGCAAGGCCCCCAGAAGGTGAACGTTTTCTGATTCGGCGTTTCGACATTGGGCAGAAGGGGGGGCGAGGGTGGGTTCTGGCTCCGGACTTCTGCTTAATGCGACTGCTTGCAGCAGTGCGTCCTCTGGGGGAGACTCCACCTGCTCGAAACAGGCGCCCCAAACAGCCAAGATCTACTCCACGGGGGGGGAGGGGGGGGGGTGCGAGGGCCCTGCGCCGATTGGCAAAACAATGAATAAGAAAACGCTCACCAGCGGATCCGCCACAGGTGCCTGTGCAGGGTGGGCTACCAGGCCTCTGTCGGCGATCATTCGGCCATTGGGGCTCGATGCATCTCTCTCCCCCGATCCTATCCGCCCCGGGAAGCTGTCGAGAAGGATGGGGGGAGCTGAGAGCTGGACAAGGGTTAAGGTTAGGTCGGGCATGTCCTCCTGCAGGCGGATTTTTGACGAAAAATGAAAAATAGTCAAACCATACATTGAACTGGTCACAAATGATAGAAAGATCGTCCCCAGACTATTTTACTCTATTTTTGAATGTTCCTCCTGTAGGGGGACATGCCTGACGTAAGGTTAGGGGGTAACTCTATCGTTGTGAAACAATTTTTGTGTCGGATATACGAGCGTCGATGCCGAACTAAGCCTCCCAGGAATTTCAGCCAAGACCAGGGGGGGGTCCTCCTTTCTTCCCCTCCCCCTGCCCGCGCGCGCGCGGAGGAGAGGGGATGAGGGTGGAGGGAATGGGGGGGTGAGGTTGCGGAGGAAGAGTTGGAGCGGGAGGAGGTTCGCGAGAAGTAGGTCAAGGGGGTAGGAAGTTTCTAGCAGGGAGAGGGGGAGGATGGAGTAGAAGGTAGGAGGGGAGGGAGGTCCTGAGGAGGGAGAATCGGAAAGGGGGCTGTCGAGAAGGGGGGAAGGAGGGAGGGAAAAGTGGATGAGGAGGTAGAAGCAACAGTAGCATCAGGAGCAGGAGGAATTAGTGGGGAGCAAGGCTGAATGAGGCGAGAAAACAGACGGGGGTGTAGGAGGGGGAGGTTTCCAAAATGTTGATGAGAAGGAGCAGCAGGAGCTGTAAGATGAGACAGTGGGGAAGAGGGACAGAAGAGACACAAGGCAGGGGGTGGAGGAGAGAGAAAGGTAATCACAGGCCTTCAAAGGTGGAATACTTGTTTCGAGTGCGTCCGACACGTTTCGAATGGTTCTCGTACGCCAGGCGATCGAATATGATGATCTCATCGTTGGTCAAAGTTTCAAGGCACATAGAGATCCACCATGCAAATCCATGACTCTGTTTGTTTTTGGATGGGGTACGGGTCCGTTGCCCGACCGCGTGCTGCTCCGCCAATTCCGCGTGGGTGGACATCTAGAGGCTTGAGTGGCACGGCATCGCAGACAAAGGGGGCCCCGATCAGCTGCGCCTTCGCATAATGCAATCGCACACCTCTCGTGCTGATGTTGATGCGTACCATGTCTCCGCTCGGTCCAGACTAAGAAACGACCCTGTGGGCAACTGCGCCCGCCATACTGCCGAATCCACCAAAATTCGGGGATCTACTGAACCCGGGCAATCCAAACCCGGGTCAATCAAGCTTTTCAAGATCCGGCAAAAGTACCGTGAGTGCTCCAAGAGCCGGCTTGCCGACGCGATACCTCTCCCGACCGAGTGGGCTGGCCTCGCCAGACCCCTCACGGCCAGGGCGGACAGCCAGCGCGCTCCCCCCGCCCGAGCTGGCCGCGCTTGCCCGGCAAATTCCTCCCCCGCCCGCTGTCGCCGCGGTCGGGAGCCGGGCCGCCGTCGCGATCGGTGCGGCCGCTCGGGAAGCCAACGCTGGCCGCCAAGCCCTTCCCTCCACACTCGCGGCGGCTGGGCGGGGCGTGGTGTGTGTGTGTGTGTTTGTGTGTGTGCGTGTGCGTGGCCACTTCCTTTTCCCCGCTGGCGCGCGAGCGTCGACCACCGCTGCCCGAGAGGAAGCCGGGGGGAGCTCCGCTTCCTGCCCTCCCACTCCCCAGCCTCCCGCTTCCCCCTGGGCACCGCTGCCGCCTCGCCCCTTCGCCCACGTCAAACCCGGCTGCTGCTCGCGCTGTCCTTGCCATTTCCACTAGCTGGCCCAAGATTCCTCAAGCTGCCTCGCTCCCTCGACCTCATCGGCTGCAGTTGCCGCTGTCTCTCACTGCGCTACGCTGGTTGCCTCGGCTCGTCATAGTCGCGCTGCTTCCTCCCTGTCCGTCCTGTTTCCCCCGCTTTCCCCTCTCTCTTCCCCGCCCACGCTCCCCTCGCGACTGTCCCCTCGAGAATGTTGCAGTCGATCCCCCAAAGGCGGATCACACTTCTTCAAGCCGCGTGAGCTGGCCAGGTCCGCGCGCTTCTCGCTTGACTATCCTACGACGCGCCGCCGCGCGCGTGGCCGCGACGCCAAAAAGTGTTTGTCTGTATGTGTGTGTGTGTGTGAGTGTGTTTGTCTGAGTGTGTGTGTGTGTGTGTTTGTGTTCCTGTTTGTGTTCCCGTGTGCAGTGTGGAGCTGGCGGGGTCGCGATCTCTACCCAGTTCGGATAACCCTGCCCTCGAGTCCCACCTGTCTGGGCTCAAGAATGGCGAGATCTCGGGGAGGACAGGTACAAGCAAAGCAAGGAACGGCTGCGCATCACGGAGGTCCGGCGTCCTGCCCATCTCGTCCGTGCTGGCCAAGGCATGGAACCTGGCTAGTTTTTACTCGGGGTGTACCCTGTTGCGGGACCACGGACTGGATATCGCCCCCAGTCGGTGGTGCCACAAGTTGTTACGCCCGCGGTGCACGAGCGCACGATGCCCGTCCAGGGGCATGCAGCCTTAGATCCGCTTCCCTGTGCGGGGACTAATTATAACCGCATCCATCGAAAGCGGACTCGAACTCGAACTGGGTGAACCTCGGAGTTCTCCATGTGCGAAAGGCTCGTGGGAAACTCGTGAGCGCCTACTGCGTGTGCAGGATGGAGCATACGAAGCGGAGGAGGATTTTTACAGTGCACCGCTAACACCCAGGCTCCAAGGAAAGCGGATGAGGAGGAGGAGGAGGAGGAGGAGGAGGAGGAGGAGGAGGAGGAGGGAGGGAGGAGGAGGAGGAGGAGGGGAAGGAGGAGGAGGGAGAATGAGGGGGGAAGGAGGAGGAGGAGAAGGAGGAGGGAGGAAGGAGGAGGAGAGAGGAGGAGGAGGAGGAGGAGGAGGGAGGAGGAGGAGGAGGAGGAGGAGGAGCAGCAACAAGCGGAAGGTGGACGAGAAGAAGAGGCTGGCGAGCGACCGCTCCCCCGTCCCCGGGGGCCCCGCGGCCTGCCCTGCCAGCGCTCAGCTGCGGCACAGAGGTGGGGCGGGGAGCTGCGGAGTCACAACGTAGAAGGAAGGCGGACGGGGTAGAAACGGGGGGGGGGGGATGGTGGATGGAGTCGTGGATGGGGCAGGGGGGAGGGCGGGGAGGGTGGAACTGGGGCAGAGCGGAGGGCGCAGAAGGGAAGGGAGGGAGAAGAGGGGGGGGGCGATGTGGGAGGGCGAAGAGGGTGGCGGAAGGCAGAGGAAGAGGGAAGGATAAAGAGTAGGAGCGACGCCTCCTCGTATTCAACGCTGCAGAACATCTGAAGATCCTCCTTCCTCCGCCAGCGGCAATTCCTCCTCCTTCTTTCTCCTCCTTCCCTGGGACCCCTAGAACCAGCTCCACCTCCACATCCTCCAGCTCTGGCTTCTCCTCCAACTCGGCATCCAACCCCGCCTCCTCCGCGTTCACCTCATTCTACGTCGGCCAGGCTCCGAGCGATGGAGCTCGCACCGTTTCATTTCACCTCCTCGTCTGCCTCCTCCTCCTCCTCCTCCTCCTCCTCCTCCTCCTCCTCCTCCTCCTCCTCCTCCTCCTCCTCCTCCTCCCCCCAGAGGGTCCAAGAGGGAGAGACGGGAAAAAGTCAGCGGCGCGGGCTGCGTGACCGAGCCCCAGCGGCCTTTTTCATGAAGCTCCGGAATTCAGCGCCATCGCCACCTCAGGATGTCGTCGTCGTCAGCGTCGGCTTTGCAGAGGCATCGTCCAACAATACCTTGGCGTCGTCGTCTCGCATGCCAGGAAAGTGCCTCTTCCTCCTGCTTCGCCCTTCTCCTCTTTCTTTTTCCTCCTCATTTGCCTCCTCCTTCTCCTCATCAACTTTCTCCCACCTCGTCCTCAACATGCTTCCTCGTCCTCGCTCCTCATGTTTCTCCTGCCGCTGCTCCTCCCCAGGTTTCTTCCTTACATCCTCCTGCTCCTCCTCCCCGGGCATCTTCACCTCCTTCCTCATGTCCCTCGTAGAATATGCGGGATGGGGCTAGCCCAGAGGGAGAGATAGGATGGCGGGAGGGGGAGAGGAGAGGGGAGGGGGATGGGGAGACGGGGCGCCAAAGGAGGGTGATGGAGAGGTTTGGGGGGGGGAGTGGGAGGGGGGAGGAACTGTACACGGAGAGCGGAGCGAGGGGTCGACATAATGAGGCAGCAGGCGAAGAGACACACGACAAGCAACGAAAGCACGCCCCCGGGCGAGGCAGACGAGAAACGCGGCTGCCTTTCTCCGCTTTTCTCTCATCGTCCTGGTCGTCCTGGTCGGTGCACTCACGAGGAGAGTAAGGCCCGTTCGATGGCATGGGTCCTCTCCTCCTCCTCCTTCTCCTCCTCTTCCTCCTCCATTCTCCGATGGCCATGACCAGGTAGAGAAGAACGCTGGTAAGTAATTTTGAAAGTGCTACCTCGCCCGTGCCCCTTTGCGTCGGGACCGGATACGAACTGGGCCTGATCGCTTGGTGCTAACTGCAGGCCCTCGATGCGAACGGATAGTATGGTCAGAACATGACATTTGATCACGCGTCGAACACTATTTGCACACCAAGCGACTGCTTGAGTGCAGGCGGACACGCGGTGGTTCAGAGCCTCGTCTAAGTCCGATGACTTTATTTGTCGTCATCCTTCCCCTCCCATTTGTTCCTCTCGTATCATGCTCGAACCCTTCATGCTCCTCCCTTCCCCTCTTCTTGCCTCTTCCCGCCTCTTCCACGTTCACCTCCTCCGACTCCTCCTCCTGCCTTCTGAGCTTTCTGCTTGCTGCGCGCCGCTTCATGCGCTGCGCCTCACTATGTGTATATATTTATACATGCACATGGATTCAGGCCTCTCCTCTATACTGTACCTGCTCTCTCTACTCTCACTCCTTTGTATAACATCATTTGTCTTTATACTTTCCTGGCGCTCTCCCGAAATCGGCGGGGGCCTTCACCATGACCCAGCAAACAGGACCCCGTGAACTCAGGCACCTAGTCGCCTACCGATCTCGGCCTGGCACTTCTGTCAGATCATTACAGCTTCGGAGAGGATGCCGTCAACGCAAGAACCAAATGTGGAATACTTTCACGGGAGAAGACCAACTTGGTTGCTTGCGCGTAGAATGCAGAGAGGCAGCGTGAGCGAGCTATACGATCCGTTCTCTATCATTAACTATGCACTCTCGCCTATCTACACATTTAGATTGCATCTCCACGCTCTTCTCTCCATTCGCTACCCTCTGCTCTCTACACTCGGCTCTCCACTCTTTGCTCTCTGCTTCTGCACTCTGAATCCGGCTCCGTCCTCTTCGCTCTCTGTGGTCTACTACCGACTTATCTCTGCGCAATGCTATGCTTCTACTCTCTCTCCCTCTCTCCACCGCTCTCCCTCCCAATAGTATCCATAGACCCTCCCCTCTCTCCACGTACCCTGTGTGCCCTCTACTCGGAACCTGGCCGCCCACTGGAATCGGTGGGGGGCTCTCGAGAGCACCCGGAACAAGGAACCTTAGGAGATCGCAGGCGGCCCCAGGCACCAGACACCGGTGCACCGCAGCATTGGTCACCACCCACACGGGAACACCACCGGCCTTCTCCTCCTCCTCCCCCTCCTCCCCCTCCTCCTCCTTCTTCTCCTCCTCCTCCTCCTCCTCCTTCTTCTTCTTTTCCTCCGCCTCCCCCTCCTCCTTTACCCACACGGGAACACCATGAGCCCGGGAGCCCCGCCGGCCTTCGACTTCGGGACTTCGGCCCAGTCTTCCTCGCGTCATCACGACGACTCCCAAGGGGCGGAGCCGGGGGGGAGCCTGGCCGCTTGCCGACCTTGGTCCGGCACTCTGGGCGGGGGGGGGGCGAGGCGGAGGATCGAGAGAGGGAGCGGGAGAGCGTGCGCGGCGCCCCGTCGCCACGGTCCTCGATTACCTCCATGCTCGCGTCTTTCTCCTCCTCGACCACCTCCATGTCCGCGTCGGCTTCGTCCTCCCGCCCAGGAAGCTCGAGCGCCAAGACAGCAAGCGCATGAATACGAAGCACCCCCGTGACCCGAAGGGGCGGCGGGACGCAGCAAACCGGAGCAGGAACTCTGCCTCCCCAACCACCGCCCTCTTTATCTCCATGTTCATATCCTTCTCATCGCTCCCGTCCTCCATCCACCCCACACCCATCCACCCCTCGTCCTTCTAGATGGCTCCCCAACTCGCACCATCACACATGCCCGTGGGCTGGGCCGGGCGTTTCGCTTGAAACTTCCGTGCGAAATCTGATCCTGACGCTAAACAGCATCGAACAACTTCAGCGATGAGGGCCACCTAATTCATTTCAAATTGCGGCTCTCGACGCTCGCCTTATCGTCGCGCACATTCTCCCAAAGGCGGCTCTCGCCTTAGCGCGACGCACACTCGTCTTGACCACTTGCAGCAACCAACTTCTAGGACTGAAGGTCGGCCGTTTGCAAAATGCGGCTCTCGCCTTAACGTCGCGTGCTCTCGCCTGAAGAATTAGCACCAGCTTCAAGGATGGAGTTGATTTCGTTATTGCCTTGGCGCCACGCACATTCGTAGCCAACTTTTGCAACAGCTACAAGATGGATAGCGGTTCTCGCCGTAGCAGCGTGCACATTCGCCTTCGACTTTTGCAGCAGCTGCAAGGATGGAGGACAGATCCTTGTCAAACTGGGGATCTCGCTTGAGATCTTCCCAAGCATACAGGCTATGATGCTGTTCATGCGATTCTTTTCCAAAATGAGGCTCTCGCTGGAGACGTCCTCAAAATATGAATGACCAAACGTGCAATCCTGTGCACCAATTGCGTGGATGAGGGTGTTGCTCCTTTTCAAAAAAGTGCTCTCGCAATATACATCTTTGACTAGTCTGATCCTGTCTTTTCGTATTCGTTTCCATTTGCTGCAGCGGCCCTACCCACGGCGGCGCGCAGACGGCGCAGCGGGCGGAGTCAACCGCCGCCGTGCACGCGGTCATCGAGGCGGGCCGGCCCTATGAGGTGGTGGCAGATTCGCAGTGCGTCCGCAACGGGATTGTGAAGCTGCGCGCCAAAGCTTGCCACCTGGAGTGGAAGGACCAACAAATGACATAAACATAAACTTTTGGCGCTCCGCGCGGATTTCTTGGATCTGCGCTGGACCCCCCTCCCTGGCGCGCGGATCGCGCCAGGGGCGGCGCCGGAGGCGCCGCCGGGGGGCTCTAGCGCGGATCCACGAAATCCGCGCGGAGCGCCAAAAGTTTATGTTTATGGCGTTTTTCTTCTTCGATGGAGAAGGCGCACTCAAATCTGTGGACCATCACTGCACCCCACCTCTGGAGCGCCCTCCTCACCGCCCGCTGTAGAAGTCAAACAATCCACTCCCATAATAACCACGCCGACACGCGAAGTCGTTTAATAAACGCGCCCAAAGAAGGAATCGAACAGGGCAGGTATGTTTAGAAAACGCCCAAGGCCGTTTAGTAAACGCCAATTGTCCGGTCCGGGTGTTTTTTCCCAAAACCGTGGGGTCAACCCGAATCCCCACGGACTCACCACAAACTGGACCTACCTCTCTCGGAATCGCGAGTTCTGTTTTCTGCGTGATCGTTGTGCAGGTTGGTCAAAGATACCTGGGTCGCCATGTTCGAATTTATCAACGTAAGGGTCGCACACTCTCCCTCGGGAGCTCTCTTTAAGGTACTGTTGGCAGCTGAGGCGGAGCGGCCTCCTCACCGCAGGCGGGATCGAGGCGCACCTCGACGCCTCGGCCGCACGCGCACGGGGGTTCTGCGCGGAGGACAGGGAGGGCCACGAGCCGGCCGAACCCATTGCTGGCGCCCGCGCAGCGGCGCGGCTGCCGCCGCCGGACCTCTACGCTTAGGTCGGGCATGTCCCCCTAAAGGCGGATTTTGGGAGACAAACTAAAAATAGTCAAAAGATGCTCAACAGAATCCAAATATGGTGGAAACATCGTCCCCATACTATCCATGGAATCTTAACAACTTTTGACTATTCCTCTTGTAGAGTGACACGCCCGACTGAACTCTTCACGGCGCGAGACCGCGAGACCGCCGGCCCTGAAGGTTCGGCGGCGAGCGAGGGGGGGAAATGAGGAGGAGGCCTTCTGAGAAGTCGGCGGGGCTTCTCAGAAACCCTCGCGCCTTCTGGGAATTTTTGTTCCGTCCTCGGGGAAGGCTTCGAAAACTTCTCTCGGAAGGCCGGGGGACTTCCGAACCATCTGAGAAGGCCTTCTCCCTCTCGCTTAATTACCCCCCTCGCTCGCCGCCGAAGGGTGGCACGCGGACACGGCAGTCCGCGGAAGCTGCTGCCGGACCGCGGCAGTCGCGGACACGGCGTCCCGCGCGTGCGCCTGCGCTGGACTGTGGCCGTGGTGCGACTGGACCGTTTCCCCCGGGGCCGCGGGCGACCCGAGGAGGGGAGGGCGAGGAGGGGGAGGAGGAGGAGGAGGGGGAGGAGGAGGAGGAGGAGGAGGAGGAGGAGGAGGAGGGGGAGGAGGAGGAGGAGGGGAGGAGGAGGTGGAGGAGGGACAGGGGGAGGAGGAGGGGGGGAGGGGAGGGGGAGGGGAGGAGGAGGAGGAGGAGGAGGAGGAGGAGGAGGAGGAGGAGGAGGAGGAGGAGGAGGAGGAGGAGGAGGAGGAGGAGGAGGCAGGAGGAGGAGGAGGAGGAGGAGGAGGAGGAGGAGGAGGACGAGGAGGAAGAGGAGGACGAGGAGGAGGACGAGGACGGGTCGCCCAAGCCCTTCGGAGAACCCTCCCAACTCCGTCGCCGGCCGCCGCTGCAGGACGCGCCGGCGGCTGCACAATGGCTAGGGGGACAAAAAAGTGGCAAAAACATAAAAACTCGGAGGTCCGCGCGGAATTCTCGGATCGGTGCTGGGCCCCCCCCGGCGGCGCCTCCGGCGCCGCCCCTGGCGCGCTCCGCGCGCCAGGGAGGGGGGCCCAGCGCCGATCCGAGAAATCCGCGCGGCCCTCCGAGTTTTTTTGTTATGCCACTTTTTTGTTCCCCCAATGGCGCCCCGGGCCGCCCCTGGCCGCCGCTGGGGCACGCCTCCCCCGCGGGGGCGGCGGCGCGGCACCGCCGTCGCCGAGCGAGGCCGCGGTGGCGCTCCTCGCCAGCCGCGCGAGGCAGGCACGCGCGGCGCGAGCCAGGCGTGCCGCGGGTGCGGCTGCTCGGCGCCGCGGAGGCGGCGCGGCGGGCGGGGCGGTCGTGCCTGGGCTGGGCCCGCGAGCTGCCGCGGCGGGGAGCGGCCCTCCTCGTGGTGCCGCACGCGCGCGCCGGCGGGGGCGGGGCGGCCTGGCGAGCGGCGCTCGCGGCGCGCCTGGCCGAGCTGCCCAGCCCCCCCTGGGGTGAGGTTTTTTGTTTTTTCCAGCACGGCTTTGGGAGACGATGGGGGAACACGCCGAGGGGCATGAAGGCGCCAAGAACGTGTAAGGAACATGTCCTGGCCACGTGGCCGCTATTCGGTCCAGGGAGCCCGTTGAGCGTCGTGCACAGGGCAGCACCCAGGGTGAAGAATTCGTTTCTTGCATGTTTGCCGCGCAGTCTGCCCTCCTCCAACTTCCTTCGCCGCGGGGCTCTCCATGCGAATGTGAAAGGTAACGGAACTCTCAACCGAAACATGGTCTGCGTGTCAGACTCAAGCCGTCCGTGGGGGACGTACGATGGGGGAGAGGGAAAGAAATCGGAGATCTGGGATGAGCCGGGAGAGAGGTGAGGGGATGAATAGCCGCCACGGCAGCGGCCAACAGCCTGGACAGGAGGGGCGGGGTTCGTCTCAAACAAGGGCGTTCGCAAGCATCGGCTGCTCTTCGTGCATCTGGGTTATCACATTCGGGTGGCCCCTTCCGTAAGGTCGCGCCCCCGTGGCACGGGCGACTCACGGTGGCCGACGCCCAGGGATGGCGCCGTGAGAGACCAGCCCCAACCGCATGCTCAATGAGACCTTCGGCCAGACTAGGACGTGTGAGAGGAGGCGGTGATAGTGGTGGCGAAGAATGAAGGAGGGAGGCAGAGGATCAGGTTCCAGAAGGACGCATGAGGATGACGAAGGGAAGCATGAGGAGGGGAGACAACAAAATATCATACATAACTTTCAACGAGAAGACGATGGCCATACATCCGGTGATCACGGTATGGCGTCGCCTGTCGCCTGTCGGGACAACCTCATGAAGCTCCAGTAACGAACGAAACCGCCGACTCCTGCTGTTTCCGACATGGCTGTTTAGAGCTGCCCGTACATCCTGGGGGTAGGGTTGTCGATGAGAGTGATAATGAGGAGGACGACCAGAACGTTGGCAAATATTTGGCAAGTAGGATGGCGCTGAAGAGTAGGGAGAGGTGGGCGAGGATGGCGAAAGAGAGAGAGAGAGAGAGAGCGAGAGAGAGAGAGAGAGAAAGAGAGATAGAGAGATAGAGAGCGAGAAAGAGAGAGAGAGAGAGAGAGAGAAATAAAGAAAACAACTGATAGAGAAAAAAGAGAAAGAGAGAGAGAGAGAGAAACAAACACGCGATACACATACATAGAGAGAGAGAACGAGAGGGAGGAAATAGAGCGAGACTCCAACCTCCACCTCCACGCTCCTCCTCCCTCCTCCTCCCTCCTTCTCCTCCTCCTCCTCCTCCTCCTCCTCCTCCTCCTCTTCCTCCTCCTCTCCTCCTCCTCCTCCTCCTCCTCCTCCCCTCCTCCTCCTCCTCCTCCTCCTCCTCCTCCTCCTCCTCCTCCTCCTCCTCCTCCTCCTCCTCCTCCTCCTCCTCCATCCCCTCCTCCTCGCCTCCTCCTCGTCCTCCTCATCTTCCACTGCCTCCGTCTCCGCCCGCTTCGTCGCCGTTGTCGTGGTCCTCTTCAGGGTCGGCGGCACCGTCGTCAGGCCTTCGCAATAGAGAAAGAGAGAGAGAGAGAGACACAGGGAGAGAGAGAGAGAGAGAGAGAGAGCGAGAGCGAGAGAGAGAGGGAGAGAGAGAAAGAGAAAGAGAGAGAGAGAGAGAGGGAGGGAGAGGGAGAGAAAGAGAGAGAGAGAGAGAGGGAAAGAGAGAGAGAGAGAGAGAAAACGATAGAGACAGAGAGAGAGAGAGAGCAAAGACAAAAAACTAGAGAGAGATTGAGACGAGGCGGGGATGGGGGAATGGACGGCGTACGGCGCGAGGAATGGAGAGAAGAGGCGGAAACGGGGGGAGGGGATGGGGAGGAGGGTGAAGGCAGAGGGAGACGAAGGGAGGATGGGGGAGGCGAATGGCACCAGGATGCTGCTTGCACCCTCCCCGAAGCATTTCCCCAAGCGCCCTGTGTGCGAGGAAAGGGGACGATTCCTCCCCTCCGCCTCGATATCCTCCTCCCCCTTCTCTTTCGCATCCTCTGACCCCCCATTCTCGCCCTGTTGCGTCCTTCTTCGATTCCCGCCTCCTTTCTCCTCCTGCGCCGCCCTCCTCCGAGACCCTTGACGAAAAGAAATGGCCCGCGAACTCGCCCCACTCCCGTGCGCCTTGCTGTCGCTCTTTTTGGCGCCCTCCTCGGCGGTCTTGGGGTCGGGCGTGTCTGGCTTCTGTCAGGGCGTCTTTTTTGCATCGAAGCAGGATTGAGTTCATCGACCAGGAGGGGCGCGGCACGAAGAACTCTAAACCGACAATAGCGGCCGAACCTCATGCACCGTCACCCCCTCCCTCCCCCCTGGCCCTACAGAGCTGCGTGGCTGTCCCCATCTCGGCGAACAGCACGGTGCTACTGACCCATGGGGAAGTGGAGGACGGAGGCAGTAGTTGCATGAGGAGCGGTAAGAACAAGATGCGAGCTCGTTTCCGCGACTCTCCTCTGGATGCCGGCCGCCTCTCGGGCAGCCTTCCCGCCCCGTGGGCACGGATGCCTCGGCGGCAACCCGTGCCGCCGGCCGTGGCACCTGGCTTGGGGACGTGGCTCACCTGGCACGGCGTGCCCTGCGCGCCCAGCAGTGCGCTGCCTCAAACAGCGGGGGAGGGGACCTCCAGGCCTTCAGACCCTGTGCGGGCCACTGTCAGCCTGTAGGCATGCCAGCAGCGCAAGGGCACCAGGCACGGTGCACGATCACTGTGAAACCTGCGAGGAACAGCGAAGCCAGAGGGACACCCAATCACCCCAAGGGGGGGAGGGGGGATGGAGGAGAGAGGGAACAATGCTAGACACCCCCGTGACGCCGTGAGCCGCTCGGTCGGAGCCGTCGCGCGCGTCGCCGAATTTGCTTGACATAGGGGAACAACAAGTGACATAAACATAAAAGCTCGGAGGTCCGCGCGGATTTCTCGGATCGGCGCTGGACCCCCCTCCCTGGCGCGCGGATCGCGCCAGGCCGCCAAGGGGCCCCAGCGCGGATCCGAGAAATCCGCGCGGACCTCCGAGTTTTTATGTTTATGCCACTTTTTGTTCCCCTATTACATGCATCCCGCCAAGATTTTCTGCTCAAGGCGAGGACGTTGGGATTCTCGATGCCCTTGGCCTGCATGTGTCGCCACGGATCGGGTCGGGGCGGTGGCCCAGGCCCGTCCGCAGGCGGCCCCCCTTTGGCCATGCGGGGGCTAGGAGGGGGAGGCCGAGGACGGCAGCGGGGAAAGCGAGGGTGGGGGCAGAGCGGGAGGAGGTGAAGGAGAAGCAATAGGGTGGGGGCACGAACGAGGGTGAGAGGGGGCAAGGTGTGGGGAGGAGCAAGAGCGACAGTTTTTTTTTATGATATCTGTACATCAGAATGAGGGGGCCGAACGGTCATTCACTGTCCCTGGGTGCGTGGCTGAAGTGGAATTCCGCGGTGCGGATTCGTGTTGTTGTTTGTTGTTTACTGTTGTTTGTTGTTGTTTGTTGTCGTCGTCCCACCCGCAACCCGCCCCGCGACCCACCCGCGACCCAACCCGCGACCCACCCCGCGACCCACCCGCGACCCACCCGCGACCCACCCGCGACCCACCCCGCGACCCACCCCGCGACCCACCCCGCGACCCACACCCGCGACCCACCCGCGACCCACCCGCGACCCACCCCGCGACCCGCCCGCGGCCCACCCGCGACCCACCCGCGACCCACCCGCGACCCACCCCGCGACCCACCCGCGACCCACCTTCGACCCAAACCACGTTCAAGGTACAAACCACCATTTTCGGCGCCTGCGGCGGGCTTTTTTTGCATTCCTTCCAGGTGGAGAGCCCGCGACCCACCCCGTGACCAACTTGCGACCAACCCGCGACCCAAACCACGCTCAGGGTACAAACCACATTTTTCGGCGCCTGCGGCGGGCATCTCTTGCAGTCGTTTCAAATGGAGTGCCCGCGGCCCACCCGCGACCACGTTCAGGGTACAAACCAAATTTTTTGGCGCCTGCGGCGGGCTGCTTTTGCATTCCTTCCAGGTGGAGTTGGAGAGCCCGCGACCCACCAGCGACCCAAACCACGTTCACTGAACAAACCAATGCCGAGGGGGAGGAGGGGAAGGAGGAGGGGGAGGAGGGGGAGGAGGGGGAGGAGGACGAGGAGGGAGAGGAGGAGGATGATGGACGACAATGGGAGGACGATGATGGAGGCCGATGAGGGGGATGACGACAATGGGAGGACGATGATGAAAGGACGAGGTGGGGAGAGGGAGGACGAGGACAAAGAGGAGGAGGACGAGGTGGAGGAGGATGACGATGACGATGAGGACGAGGACGAGGACGAGGAGGAGGATGAGGAGAAGGAGGAGGAGGAGACATCGACAGGGAAGGTGGGGGCCACGAGGTCCGCCGGCTCGACGACGCCCGCGTCGCCCGCGCCCGCCCCCTCACTCTTATCCGCAATTGCGGGGTGTTACGTATGTATTTTTTTTTATATATATATATATATAAAATAAATAAAGATGTACTGATAAGCATATATCTATGCACATGCGCACACGCACACACTAGAACCACGCGCGCGCTTCGCGCGCTTAGGTTCTAGTTAGGCATGTGCACAAGTTTGTTGTGATACCACGGGGGTGGGAGAAAGCTGCTGTATATGCAATGCATCCCCATTTACCGAAGGTTAACTGGGGATCGATTGAGGGCGGGACGTCGTGTTCTTCAACTCCCTGCCCCTCGTCGCCGTCGCCCTTATCGATAGGAACCAGCGACAGCAACAGCAGAACGATCAGGGTCGACAAAGGGGAGGAACAGGAGCAGCAGGAGTAGGTTTTGCAGGAATCCACCAGCACCGATCCTGGAGAAGCCAATCCGGCCATCTTGGGTTGGTCTGGGAGGCTTCTTGGACCGTCCGAGGCTGTCGTACGCTCGACCCCCCAGCGTGGCTGGGTTGTGGGTCAGAGCTCTCTTGGATGCCTGCTGGGGTCTCTTGGGAAGGCTCAAGGGAGTCTCTTGGGTGAAAAGTTGAACGTCTCTGGGGCCTTCGTGGGGCCGTGTAGGGGCCTTGTGGGGCCTCTTTGGACCTGTTGGGGCCTCTTGGGGCCTGCTGGCGATCTCAGGGGATCTCGTGGGCCGGCTTGAGGCCCTCTGGAGGCGCCCAAGAGGGCCCTCCTGGGCGCCTCTTGGGCCGTCTGAAGGTTCGTCTCGGGGCCCTCTGCGGGGGGGCCTCTTCGGCTGGTCGGGGCGCAGAGGCCCCGAACGGGCCCCGGAAGAACGCCAGGGACAGAGGAGGACAAGCTCCGAGGCTGGCGTCAAAACGGCTCCAGGAGGTCCTCCAAGAGGAGCCGAACAGAGCCCGAGAAAAGCGACAGCACGGGCCTCCTTCTCCTCTCCCTCCGCCTCATCAGCATCACCATCCGAGTGCCTCAGGAAGGTGAAACTAACCTGTCTTACGACGGTGTAAGCCCAGACCACGTTCCCTATAGTCGGGCGAACAATCTGACACTTTGGGGCTTCTGCGTCTCAGTGGTGGCAAGAGCCGACATCGAATGATATGAAAGCAACGTCGCTACGAACGCGTGGCTGCCACAAGCCAGGTATCCCTGTGGTAACTTTCTGACACCCATCCTGATCCTCCTCCTCGTCCTCCAAGAAAGTTCGTCCTGTGGTATTATCTCTGACACCCCTCCTGATCCTGCTCCTCGTCCTCCTGATCCTCCTGATCCTCCTCCTCCTCCTACTCCTTCTCCTCCTCCTCTCTCTTCCCCTCCTCCTACTCATCACCATCAGAGTGCCTCATGGAGGTGAGACTAACCTGTCTCACGACGGTGTAAGCCCACCTCACGTTCCTTATTGTCGGGCGAACCGTCGGACACTTTGGGGACTCTGCGTCTCAAGGATTAAAGGGCAACGTCGCTTCGAACGCGTGTCTGCCACAATACATATAGCCGTGTTGCAACTTTTCTGACGCCCATCCTGATCCTCCTCCTCCTCCTCCTCCTCCTCCTCCTCCTCCTCCTCCTAATCATCATCCGAGTGCCTCAGGAAGGTGAAACTAACCTGTCTTACGACGGTGTAAGCCCAGACCACGTTCCCTATAGTCGGGCGAACAATCTGACACTTTGGGGCTTCTGCGTCTCAGTGGTGGCAAGAGCCGACATCGAATGATATGAAAGCAACGTCGCTACGAACGCGTGGCTGCCACAAGCCAGTTATCCCGGTGGCAACTTTTCTGACACCCCTCCTGATCCTCCTCCTCCTCCTCCTCCTCCTCCTCCTCCTCCTCCCTCCTCCTCCTCATCATCCGAGTGCCTCAGGAAGGTGAAACTAACCTGTCTCACGACGGTGAAAGCCCAACTCACGCTCCCTAAAGTCGGGCGAACAATCTGACACTTTGGGCCGTCATGGGAAGCTGAGCCCGTCTGGGCGCCCTCTTGGGGCCCACTCCGACTATGTAGGGGTCCTCCGGTGGCCCCTCGGGGCCCCTGGGGACTCTCTTGGGCCGTCTGCGGCCCATTTCTTGGGCTGCCTTCGAGCGCTCGTGGCCCGTCCAGAGGCCATGTCAATGCGAACTTCAGCCATCTTCCAGACAACCTGGGGCGCTTTGGGAGCCACTTGGGCCAGCTTGGGGCCCTCCGGGGGGGTCCAGGGCCCCTTCTGGACCCTCTTGGAGCCCTCAAGGCCCCCCCGGACAGCCATGCAAACCAGTGGTACTGGCTCCGGTCCTTCCCCAGCCTTCTCCGATACACACATATATATATATAGCCCTGTGCACCCACCAAGAACCCCCCTTTCTCATTATTATATTTGATGTTATATATGATTCCTACGATTTTCGGACTCACTTTTGAGGCTCTTTCTTGGAAGACGTTTTGGCCTCCCTTCTACTCAACTCCCTCCGTCTCCAACACAACACCCATTACTCAACAGCCTCCGTCTCCAACACAACACCCGATACTCAACAGGCTCCCTCCCCAAGCTGAACTTGAAAAGAACCTTCTACTCAACTCCCTCCGTCTCCAACACAACACCCAGTACTCAACAGCCTCCTTCTCCAACACAACACCCGATACTCAACAGGCTCCCTCCCCAAGCTGAACTTGAAAAGAACCTTCTACTCAACTCCCTCCGTCTCCAACACAACACCCAGTACTCAACAGCCTCCTTCTCCAACACAACACCCGATACTCAACAGGCTCCCTCCCCAAGCTGAACTTGAAAGAACCTTCTACTCAACTCCCTCCGTCTCCAACACAACACCCAGTACTCAACAGCCTCCTTCTCCAACACAACACCCGCTACTCAACAGGCTCCCTCCCCAAGCTGCACCAAGAACCCCCCTTTCTCATGATTATATATGAATTTATATATGATTCCTACGATTTTCGGACTCACTTTTGAGGCTCTTTTTGGAAGACTTGTTGAGCTCCCTTCTACTCAACTCCCTCCGTCTCCAACACAACACCCAGTACTCAACAGCCTCCTTCTCCAACACAACACCCGATACTCAACAGGCTCCCTCCCCAAGCTGAACTTGAAAAGAACCTTCTACTCAACTCCCTCCGTCTCCAACACAACACCCAGTACTCAACAGCCTCCTTCTCCAACACAACACCCGATACTCAACAGGCTCCCTCCCCAAGCTGAACTTGAAAAGAACCTTCTACTCAACTCCCTCCGTCTCCAACACAACACCCAGTACTCAACAGCCTCCTTCTCCAACACAACACCCGATACTCAACAGGCTCCCTCCCCAAGCTGAACTTGAAAAGAACCTTCTACTCAACTCCCTCCGTCTCCAACACAACACCCAGTACTCAACAGCCTCCTTCTCCAACACAACACCCGATACTCAACAGGCTCCCTCCCCAAGCTGAACTTGAAAAGAACCTTCTACTCAACTCCCTCCGTCTCCAACACAACACCCAGTACTCAACAGCCTCCTTCTCCAACGCAACACCCAATACTCAACAGGCTCCTTCCCCAAGCTGCACCAAGAACCCCCCTTTCTCATGATTATATATGAACTTATATATGATTCCCACGATTTTCGGACTCACTTTTGAGGCTCTTTCTTGGAAGACTTGTTGAGCTCCCTTCTACTCAACTCCCTCCGTCTCCAACACAACACCCAGTACTCAACAGCCTCCTTCTCCAACACAACATCCGATACTCAACAGGCTCCCTCCCCAAGCTGAACTTGAAAAGAACCTTCTACTCAACTCCCTCCGTCTCCAACACAAGACCCAATACTCAACAGCCTCCTTCTCCCACACAACACCCGATACTCAACAGGCTCCCTCCCCAAGCTGAACTTGAAATTCGCCTGACGAAAGACCCAACCATACGTAGTTGTGAATACCGCAATTGTGGATATATTCTTCGGTGGCGCCCCCGGTCCACGAACCGAGTGAGGGGTGTGCCGAAATGGGGGGGTGGAACCGCATGCGAGCGCAGCCACTGGGGCGCTCGGTGGAGCTCCCTATGGAGCCACGAAACGTGTGAGGGGTGTGCCAGAATGGGGGGTGGAACCGCATGCGGGCGCAGCCACTGGGGCCTTCGGTGGAGCTCCCTATGGGGCCACGAAACGTGTGAGGGGTATGCCAGAATGGGGGGTGGAACCGCATGCGGGCGCAGCCACTGGGGCCTTCGGTGGAGCTCCCTATGGGGCCACGAAACGTGTGAGGGGTGTGCCAGAATGGGGGGTGGAACCGCATGCGGGCGCAGCCACTGGGGCCTTCGGTGGAGCTCCCTATGGGGCCACGAAACGTGTGAGGGGTGTGCCAGAATGGGGGGTGGAACCGCATGCGGGCGCAGCCACTGGGGCCTTCGGTGGAGCTCCCTATGGGGCCACGAAACGTGTGAGGGGTGTGCCAGAATGGGGGTGGAACCGCATGCGGGCGCAGCCACTGGGGCCTTCGGTGGAGCTCCCTATGGGGCCACGAAACGTGTGAGGGGTGTGCCAGAATGGGGGGTGGAACCGCATGCGGGCGCAGCCACTGGGGCCTTCGGTGGAGCTCCCTATGGGGCCACGAAACGTGTGAGGGGTGTGCCAGAATGGGGGGTGGAACCGCATGCGGGCGCAGCCACTGGGGCCTTCGGTGGAGCTCCCTATGGGGCCACGAAACGTGTGAGGGGTGTGCCAGAATGGGGGGGTGGAACCGCATGCGGGCGCAGCCACTGGGGCCTTCGGTGGAGCTCCCTATGGGGCCACGAAACGTGTGAGGGGTGTGCCAGAATGGGGGGTGGAACCGCATGCGGGCGCAGCCACTGGGGCCTTCGGTGGAGCTCCCTATGGGGCCACGAAACGTGTGAGGGGTGTGCCAGAATGGTGGGTGGAACCGCATGCGGGCGCAGCCACTGGGGCCTTCGGTGGAGCTCCCTATGGGGCCACGAAACGTGTGAGGGGTGTGCCAGAATGGGGGGTGGAACCGCATGCGGGCGCAGCCACTGGGGCCTTCGGTGGAGCTCCCTATGGGGCCACGAAACGTGTGAGGGGTGTGCCAGAATGGGGGGTGGAACCGCATGCGGGCGCAGCCACTGGGGCCTTCGGTGGAGCTCCCTATGGGGCCACGAAACGTGTGAGGGGTGTGCCAGAATGGGGGGTGGAACCGCATGCGGGCGCAGCCACTGGGGCCTTCGGTGGAGCTCCCTATGGGGCCACGAAGCGTGTGAGGGGTGTGCCAGAATGGGGAGTGGAACCGCATGCGGGCGCAGCCACTGGGGCCTTCGGTGAGCTCCTATGGGGCCAAGTGTGAGTGTGTGTGTTGTGTGTATGTGTGTGCGTGTGTGTGTGTGTGTGTGTGTGGTGTGTTTGTGTTGTGTGTGTGTGTGTGTAGTGTGTATGTGCGTGTGTGTGTGTGTGTGTGTGTGTGTGTGTGTGTGTGTGGTGGTGTGTGTGTGTGTGGTGTGTGTGTGTGTGCGTGTGTGCGTGTGTGTGTGTGGGTGTTGTGTGGTGTGCGCGCCAGAAGGGGGTGGAACCGCATGCGGGCGCAGCCACTGGGGCCTTCGGTGGAGCTCCCTATGGGGCCACGAAACGTGTGAGGGGTGTGCCAGAATGGGTGGTGGAACCGCATGCGGGCGCACCCACTGGGGGTGGAGCTCCCTGGAGCTCTATGGGGCCACGAAACGTGTGAGGGGTGTGCCAGAATGGGGGGTGGAACCGCATGCGGGCGCAGCCACTGGGGCCTTCGGTGGAGCTCCCTATGGGGCCACGAAACGTGTGAGGGGTGTGCCAGAATGGGGGGGGTGGAACCGCATGCGGGCGCAGCCACTGGGGCCTTCGGTGGAGCTCCCTATGGGGCCACGAAACGTGTGAGGGGTGTGCCAGAAAGGAGGGGGAGGAGGGAGGAGGAAGGAGGGGAGGAGGAGGATAGGAGGAGGAGAACGCGGGGCGACGTCTCTTCAAAACGAGGACCCAACACCACAGGATGGTTGGGAAATAACCTTCTACTCAACTCCCTCCGTCTCCAACACAACACCCAGTACTCACCAGCCTCCTTCTCCAACACAACACCCGATACTCAACAGGCTCCCTCCGTCTCCGACACACGTGCATGTACTCCAGATCCTACCACCACAACACGACGCGACACCCGAAACTCCAACCGCACCCGCCCCCTTTTTTTGGGCATCTTCCAAAAGAAAAGGGGGGGTCATGGTGGGTGCTGCGGCCTATATATATATATATGTAGTATGCATGCATGTATGCATGTATGTCTGTATGCCTGTATGGTGGTATGCCTGCATGTCTGTATGTCTGTATGACCGTATGTCTGTATGTCTGTATGTCTGTATGTCTGCATGTCTGCATGCCTGTATGCCTGTTTGTGTATGTCTGTACGTCTGTCTGTCTGTCTGCCTGCCTGCCTGTCTGTCTGTCTGTCTGTCTGCCTGTCAGTCTCTGTCTGTCTGTCTGTAAGTATGTCTGTCTGTACGTGAATGTATGTATCTCTATATCTACATATGAAGGAGCAGGGGCGACAATACATTCCCGCAGGTTCGTCCGACGGGCGGGGCGCGCGGGCGCAGCGGCAGCGGGCGCTTGCTGGTGCACGAGACCCCGCGCAGCCCGCGAAAGCCTGGTGCGGCGACCGCAGGACAGCCGGCCCTTCGGCTTCACGACGTGCTTGATCGCTGGGTAGAGGCGTGCAACAAGACGAGCTGCCAGAGGGTAGCCCAGAAGGCAGAAAGGGGAGGAGAAAGAGGATGAGGATGAGGATGCGGAGGGTGAGGAGGGGGAGGAGGAGGAGGAAGAGGAGGAGGAGGGCATAGCAGCTGAACAAATGCATGTCGAACGGACGAGAGGCGAGGGACGCAGGCCGCGCAGGTCTTCCGCGCGTGGCCTGCATGATGAGGCGGGCACCGCCATCGGTCCTCGCCGCGTCCTCGTCCTTGCCCTGCTCGCGCCGCTTCTTGCCAGGCCGCGCCATCGCTTTGGCGTGACGGCCCTCGTTTTCCTAATCATTGCAACCGTCCTGTGCCTTATCCTCCTCCGCCTCCTCCTCTTCCTCCCTCCTCCTCCCTTTTCCTTCCTTGCTTCCTTCGTTCCTCCTCCTCCTTACAGTCAATTCTTCCGCATCGGCGGCCTTGTCCTTGCCCTGCTCGGCTCTCTTCTTGCCAAGCCGCTCCGTCGCTTCTGCGAAGGTCTCCCGCACGTAGCCCTTCTGCCCATTAGTGAAGACCTGACGGACAACAGCCCAATGGGCACATCTTCGAGCCATCGAGGGTCTCTGGGCGGCCAAGGTACTTTGGAGAGCCCACGCCTCGAACCCCTTGCTGGGCCCTGGGCCAATTCGGTCCCGACGGTCGGCGACATCCTGCTCCTCCTACTGCTGCCCCCCCCTCCTCCTCCTCCTCCTCCTCCTCCTCCTCCTCCTCCTCCTCCTCCTCCTCCTCCTCCTCCTCCTCCTCCTCCTCCTCCTCCTCCTCCTCCTCCTCCTCCTCCTCCTCCTCCTCCTCCTCCTCCTCCTCCTCCTCCCTCCTCCTCCTCCTCCTCCTCCTCCTCCTCCTCCCTCCTCCTCCTCCTCCTCCCCCCCCGACCTCCATTGCGAGTTCCCTCTGCCGCCCCTCCCATCCCATCCCTTGCCCTCCTGCTCCTTCCCCAAGGGTGTAATCCTCCTGCTGCTCCTCCCACCTCTCCACCTCTCCCACCCTCCTCCTCCTCCTCCTCCTCCTCCTCCTCTCCTCCTCCTCCACCTCCGCCAGGCTGTTCTGCTCCTCCTTCTCATCCATCTTCGCATCCCCGCCGTCCTCCCTCTAATCCTCCTCCTGATCCTGTTCCCCCCCCACCTCCTCCTGCGTCTGCTGTCTTCCCCCCCGTCCCCCTCCCCGTCCTGCACTTCCTCACCCTCCTTCTCCGAGACGCCCTGCTTTGAAAGGTACTTGCCTCACTCTCGGCAAGGGCTCCCGCGACCCGCATGGGCCGGCCTCCCACCGAGTGTCTCGGCAAGGCTTTCTCGCTCCGTCTTCAACCTTCTCCCTCTCTCGGCCTCTCCTCTGCCTCCTCCTCATCCTCGTCCCCCCTCGTCCTTCCACCCCCCCATCCTTCCTAGTCCTCCCACCTCCTCCTCCTCCTCCTCCTCCTCCTCCTCCTCCTCCTCCTCCTCCTCTCACTCCGGGTCTTCGTTGTGGTCGTCCTCCTGCTCCTCCTCCTCTTCCTCCTCCTCCTGCTCCTTCTCCTCCTCCTCCGCCTCCTCTTCCCGTTGCATTGAGGCCCTCGTCTGAGAGCCACACACCTTCTGGAGCAAGGCAGTACCAAAAACATTGGAAAATCTCCGCCAGCCTCACCCTCGTATGCCTCCTCCTCAACCTCCTGCTCCTCCTCTGTTTGTTTGTGTCGCCCTCCCTGTCCCACACGGCTCTCGCCATCGTGCGCGCCAGTCTTGTCTGCATTGGCGGCCGCTGAGCTGTAACTGTTTTGAGGTAAGCAGGCGGCGAGGCGACGGGCAGAAGGTGAGTTTACGTAATAGAGAGGTCATTCCATAATCGGCGAAGTCGGAAGAAGGATGAGCAGCAGCACAGGCGGAGAAGGAGGAGGGGGAGGTGGGGAGGTAGGAAGAAGAGAAGGAGAGAAAGTGGAGGATGTTGAGGAGGCGATGGGGGCGAGAATGGGGATGGCATGGGGTACAGTGGGAACCCATGCCAAGAACACCCCTGCTTGCCTCCAGGGTGCCCTGGGTTTCTTGGGTTTCGATGGTTTTGCGATGGAAAGAGCGACGTTCCCACACCAAGAAACGATGGACGTCCTGGGGACTCCTGGTTGGGTTTCTCGCGGAAGGTTTCTTGTGGTCGAGCTCCTACTGTAAGAGCAGAGGAGATGGAGAGAGCAATTTGAGGGGGGAGCTGGGGGAGGTGGAGATAAGAGAACATCCTCTTCATCTTCCGCCTTCTCCTCCTCTTCCTCAGCTGTCCTGCCCCGCCTGAACCCCCCTCCCCCCCCTGAAACCTGACATATTTTTTCGAAACCACCCGAAACCTCCACGAGTCCTCCTCCTCCTCCTCCTCCTCCTCCTCCTCCTCCTCCTCCTCCTCCTCCTCCTCCTCCTCCTCTTCCTCTCTCCCAGGAGGTCTCTGGAAGTCCCTGGAAGTCTCTGGATGCCCCTGAACCTTGGACCCCAAGGTTTGTAATTATTGGGCCTGGAGATCTCGACGCCGATTGTCCAGGCAAACGGGCTCACGCTCTCGCCGATCTCGCAAGAGGACTGGCGATGACGCCCATGACGAGACTGTAGACGAGAATGACCAAACCGACGGGGCCCAAACTGGCCGGACCTGGCAACTTCTGCTGGGACGCGCCCGCTACCGGCTCGCCATGCTGGCTCGCGGTGGAGACCACGCGGCGAGCCGAGTTATGCTTCGTGGCGCAGGCGACCGCACCTCAGTGGGACTGTTGACGTGAAGCTCCAGGCGGATTCGACATCACCGTGCAGGCCCGCGGGGGCCTCGACTTTCCAGCGCACGCTCGCCGTGGTGGAGGGGACCAGTTGACCCGACTTGTGGGGGCTGTGCCTTGTGATGGCAGGGGCCGTTGCAGAATCAGTGGCGCGTGTTGGGCATACACTGGTCCTCCTCCTCCGAGGCCGCCCCGTATTTGTTTCTCCTCCTCCTCCGCCTCCTCCTCCTCCTCCGCCTCAACACCATCACCACCACCATCATCGCCATCACCATTACTACCATCTTGCGACATTTCGCGGCGCACGAGACGGGATGGGGAATGGTAGGGGAACGGTCGGGCTTCTACCGGGAACGACGCAATCTGTCTCGATCACACTCCCACCCCACAAAAGTAGTAAAGTGGCCGCCATCCGACGGATCACCATGATCCAGAACGTACGCCAAGCGGCCAAGCGCGCCTTGCTCACGAGATGCACCGTGCGTGCCTGGTGCACCACGCACAACATGCGCATCATGTGCGCCACATGCCCGATGTGCCCAAGTGTGCCAGGCGCGCCATGGAGGCCAAGTGGGCCACGTGTGCCATGCGGATCAGGCGCGCCAAGTGTACTACGTTCGTGACGTGCGTAGGAAGCGCTAACTATGCCAGGGCGTGTGCAAACACACATCGGGCAATGTCGCACCCCAATCCCCCCCCACTTTCCCTGTCAAGCAACACTGCAACGTGACGGCGGGGTGGTCAGACCGGTGTTTTGCGTGTGTGCTTGTGTGCGTGTGTGGAAGAAGAGGGCTGAAGGCAAGAAGAGTGATGAAGAAGAGGAAGTGAACGAGCGAGGGAAGGCTGGTGCAGTGGGCCACCAATCATCACGTCCTCGCCACATCCACCCTCCTCCCTCCTCCCTTCTCCTGCCCTCTGCTTGTCTCCTCCCCTCCTCTACCCTCCCCCCTTCCCTCCTCAATGCGCTCCCTGGTCCATTCCTGAGTTTGAGGGCTCCACCAGAATGATTGCGTACACCTCTCCCTTGCCACCGTCTCCTCCTTCTCCTCCTCCTCCTGCAATTGTGCCCCTCCTCCTCCTCCTCCCGCCTCCTTTTCCTCCCGAACCCCCTCCTCCTCCCCCTCCTCCTCCTCCTCCTCCTCCTCCGCCTGTCGATTCCTCTCCTCGTGCTGCCTCATCTTCTTCCTCTCCTCTCCCTCCTCCTTTCTCTCCCTCCCCCCCGCCCCTGCTGCTGCTGCTGCTCCTCCTTCTCCTCCTTACTCGTGCGCCTCCTCTTCGCCCTCCGCCATCTCCTCCTCTACCGCATCACGGTCCCCGCTCCTCGTGCTCGCTCTCCTCCGCCTCCTCCTTCTCGGTCTAACGCTCCCCGACCCACCCTCCTCCCCTCCCCCTCCTCCTCCCCCCCTCCCCCTCCTCCTCCTCCTCCTCCTCCTCCTCCTCCTCCTCCTCCTCCTCCTCCTCCTCCTCCTCCTCCTCCGCGCCCCCACTCCTCGCCCTCCTCTCGAGCGGTGGACCCCCTCCGCCGTGGCGCCAACGATGCCCTGGCCAACGATGAGGAGCAGGTCGGCGACGGGCACAAAGGCCCACTGAGCCTCGCTGTCCGGCTCGGAGGTAAACAGCTCGAGCGGGCTCGGCGGAGGCTGCGCGGGCGCCAGCGGTGGGGGGGGGGAGAATGGGAGCATGGGCACCGGGAGCGGAAGAGGAGAAGCAGCAGGAAAGGGCACACGAGGAAGGCGACGACGAAGAAAATGCGGCGGGACTCATATACGGCTCACAGCAGCCGCGCAAACACCGATACGTGCAATGGGCCTCGTGGCGAACACGTGCACGTAGCATGCTGCCACACTTACGGCTGCGGAGAGACATGTTGTCCTGTGGATTGTGATGCTCCTGCCTCAGCGGTCACAATGCCACTGCGCCACTGCGCCCGAAGAGGTCACAGTTCACCAACAATTTTCGAGACGCAGACTGCACCGATCCACTCAAATAAAGGGCAATCAAATACATCTCCGATGCTCGGATGCCCAATAGATCGCAAATATACCCGTACATGTTTGGATGGCAACTCCGCTATACAGATCACGCGACAACATGCGAGAATGATTTGAACAACCATGGTAACGCATTAATATTGATTCCGAACGCACTCACGTACGTAGCAGGGGGCGCACCATGACAATACGACAGACGTAGATCATTCACCACCACCACCTGAGAAGGCGCCTGGTTGAGTCCCCCGCAAGTTTGATGTCTTGCTGAAGCTTCCTGTCTTCTATCCCGCGTCCTATTTCTTGGTTCCTATATTATATCTCTCCAGTCCCGTCACCTCGGGGGGCCTGCGGCGTCAAACAAGCCCTCGGAGAGGTGCCAGCTCAGTCCCTTGGCCGTCCTGCGTTGCTCCGAGATCACCACGATCACGCCGCCGGACGATCAAGCAGGCCCAGTCAGCGCCCAGGGCGGCCCCTAGAACGCCCAACTAACCCAAGGCGGCACAATTTAGCCTCATGGGTGCACCAAGCCGGCTCCAAAAAGGAACCCAACAATTTCCGTACCAACAGGACCCCACTGTGTGCTCCGAGGCAATAAGCAAAACAAGTGGAACACCCAAATGACGTTTCAACACTTTCTGGTTATTACCTGGTATACCACCCAACTTACCAAGATGGCTGACATATGGTACAGACAAGACTCCAAGGATGCCAAGACATGCTGATATCCTCGAATCGCACAAGACGGCCCCAAGACTGAATCGGTCCTAAGATGCCCATTGCTCGAGGTGCCCGCTGGAGGCCACAACATCCTGCACACGCCCAGATGTTCCAACAAAACCACAACAATACCACCGTGCGGCTCAACACACATCTCAACATGACTCCGCTATGAGGTTGCCAACGGCGCAGCAATACAACCTTTTCGATTCACGTCCGGACTGCGAAGCACGCCCGGATGGCAAGTGTTATCCGGCTGTTCCATTATTACTTCAATTGCAATGAGTCAGCTCCCCCCTCACCCTCCGCCCAAAGCATTGCCCTATGCTGCCGTCCCCAGCCACATTTCACACTCAGTGCTGCAGGCGCGTACTTCGAAGTGGCGCTCGTGCCTGAAGGGCCAAGCTTTTGCACATGCACGGGTGCTCAGAACAAGAGTTCCTGGGCGGACACTGGGCCAGTCCACTCAAGTGCCGCGGCTCTGGAGCACCAACTTCTCAGTCAGCACAACACGAGGCCCGTGAAGCTGCCAAGTAGTCGAGTGGGAACGGCAATGCATGGGATAACGCGGTTCCGCCACGCCGTGTCTTTTCAGCACGGGAGGCGCAGGCAGCCGCGGCGACCCCTCATTCGCTCAGATCCTCACCAGGAGGGGGGAAAGGAGGAGGAGGAGGAGGAGGAGCTCCTCAAAGACCACGGCGTCGACTCAGCGGCCAGCGCCAATGTCGAGGAGGCCGAAAAGTCAAGGAACTCGAGGAAAAACACCAGACGGGGGCTCGCAGCCCGGCGCCGTGCTGACAACGCGAAGCGCAAGGTCGACAAGCTCGAGGAACGTGCCAAACAGTACAATGGAGGCCCATGCCAAGAAACACCCTGCTTGCCTCCAGGGTGCCTTGGGTTCTTGGGATTCGATGGTCTTACTATGGGAAGCGTGATGTTTCCACATCAGAGATCGATGGACGCCCTGGGGTCTCAGGGCTGGGCTTTATGTAAAAATGTTTCTTGTGGACTGGCCTCTACTGCGTTAGGAAGAAGAGCCCGAGTTCGCCCGCACGATCGAGGATGCCGGCTGGCAGCTTGGGGGGTTCGCAGAAGGACCTCGAGCAACACAATGAAATGCTCCACGGGGTCAACTTTACGTCGGGCACGTCCTCTTACAGGCGGATGTACAAGCGGATCCCCGTCGAATCTCACAAGTCATCAACAATGTCAACAGTGGATCCGACGGTAGGACCCCGCATGGGATCTATCTCGGTAGCCCTTCGCTCTTTCCTTGTCGCCCTGGCCGACCCGCCCGTCTCGCCCTCTGTTGCGCCTCCTCCTCCTCATTGTCTTCCTCCTCGTCCTCCGTCTCCTGCTCCTGCTCGCCTTCCTTGTTTAAGTTCTCCTCTTCCTCTTCGTCTTTTGCCTCTCCCTCCTCCTCTTCCACCTTCTCCTCCCCCCCTCAACTCCATCCCAACCGTTCTCCTCATGACCTCTCCTTCCTCTTGGCAAGCGGGGCGCATGCCGATTTTCCTCGGCGCCCTCGCCGCCGCGCCCGGCATGGGCGCGTTATCCGATGGCAAAATCGCGAAGCCGTCGGGGCAACGGCCGTTGGGACAAACCAGCGAGCCGCCGGGGCGCGAGAGCAAACCGTTGGGTCAACCCGCAGGCACCGAGTTAGTCGCGGCCGCGCTGAGGTGGGAGGCAGCACGAAGTTGAGCTCTGCCACGAGATGCTCCGCCTCAGCCCTGGGGTCCACCGCTCTCTTGTCGAACTCCTGGAGCGACTTGTACCTAGGGAGGGTGCTCCCGCCTGAAACTTCCTGGCAACTCATTCACAGACGCGTGAGGAACGCCTCGTGATGTGCCCGTTTGGGGCGCTCAAGTGCTATGCCTAGTAGAGTTTGCCGATGACCCGCCCGGATTGCCAACGTGAAGCGCAGGCCCCATGGGGGGGGGGGGCTTTCGCCTGAGACTTCCTTGCTATCCACTCACAGACGAAGCCCACGCGTGAGACTTCCTCCATGTTTAACCAGAGAAGCGGAAACGTGACGACAATTACATGGTTCCGATGACCCGCTCGGATTGCCAACATGGAGTGCGGGCCCCATAGGAAGGGGCTCCCGCCTGAGACATCCTAGCAATTCACTCACAGACGAAGCTCCCGCCAGAGACTTCCTCCATATTCAAGCCTGAATGCCGACAGTGAAAGGTTCCTTTTTTTCCAAGGTCAGGCCTGTCGCAACTAGGGCCGAGAGAGCGCCGAGGGGCGCTGGAGGGCGAATCAGGTGTCGAGGAGGCGGGAGCCCTTGCCCTTCGCCTTGCCCCCGAACGGGATCCCCTTGTCCTTGCCGATGCCCATGGACGGCTTACCGTTGGTGGCGTCCTCGGCCGTGGCAAGGTGCGCGGCGGTCCAGCCGAACTCCGAAGTCGTGAGCACGTAATGGGATCCAGCCATGCGCGAGGACGAGTTGGCGCCACACTCCGAAAGGATCTGCGCCGTGTGGGTGTCCGCCTTCATGATGTTGATGGCTCCGTTGTGGAACCGCGTGTTCTCCAGGATGGAGTCCGAGTTGAGGCCGCACTCCGAAAGGTTCTGCGCCTTGTGGATGTCCGCCTTCACGATGTCGCTCTTGCACATGATGCGGCACGCGTCCTCCTGCAGGAAGGCGTGCCTGGAGGTCGCACGGACGACGGTGTCGTCGTCGCCGTACTTGTTCTTGAGCTTCTCCTCGTGCAGGGTGCCACGCAAGGTGTAGCTCTCCTCCTCACTCAAAGCCACGTCGTCCGCAGCCTCTAGGGTCGAGTCCGAGTTGGCGCCACGCTCCGAAAGGATCTTCGTCGTGTGGATGTCCGCCTTCATGATGTCATCCTTGTTGCACATGATGTGGCACGCGTCCTCCTGCAGGGGTGTGTGCCTGGAGGTCGCGCCGAAGACGCTGTCCTCGTCCCCGTACTTGTTCTGGAGCTTCTCCTCGTGCAGGGTGCCGCGCATGGTGAGGCTCTCCTTCTCGCTCGTAGCCGCGACGTCCGCAGCCTCTGTGAAGTACTCGTCCTTCGTAGTGATGTCGTTCTTGGTGGCTCCAGCGTGGAACCGAGTGTTCTCCAGGAGCGATTCCGAGTTGACGCCACGCTCCGAAAGGTTCTTCGCCGTGTGGACGTCCGCCTTAATGATGTCGTTCTTGTTGCACGTGATGTGGCACGCGTCCTCCTGCTGGAAGGTGTGCCTGGAGGTCGCATCGACGACGTTGTCCTCGTCCACGTACTTGTTCTGGAGCTTCTCCTCGTGCAGGGTGTCGCACATGATGAAGCTCTGCTTGTCGTTGTCCAGCTCGGGCCCCAGGTCGGAGCCAACCGAGCCTTCCGTGGAGACCTCCTCGATGCCGTTCTGCACGCCCAGGGTGGCCTCCGCTGTCGCCAGCCAGGCCTTGAGGCGGCAAAGAACATCGTGCGCGGCTCCAGGATGGCGAATGAGCGCCGACGCCCCGTCGAGGATCCGGCACTCCCGCTCGAGGTCCGACGGCGGCCGCACACCAGCGTCCCGGCGCTGCTGCCAGCCTTTGGCCAGCGTGCTGCCGCCCACCACGGCGACGAGCTCGGCGGCGGCACCAAGCACGTCGCGGGCGGCACCACCAAGCACCGGTAGTGGAACTTCGCCAGGAGCGGCTGGAAGAAGGGCGACGGGAGCCGCCGCCCGCTTCGTGACCACGGCCATCAAGTCCGCCGCTTCGCCGACAGACCGGGCCCACGCCACCGCTGCGCCATGCCGGACAGGGATTCCGCCTTGCTGCCGTGGCATGGGAATGAAGGGCGCGTCGGGAGCCCGGCGCGCCGTGTGCCGCTTGAGCCAAAATGGCTACGGACAGTGAAAGGTTCCGATGACCCGCTCGTATTAAAAACATGACGCGCGGGACCCATAGGCAGGGGTCTCCCGCTTAAGACACCCTCGCAAGGCGCTCACAGACGAAGCTCCCGCCGGAGACTTCCTCCATGGTCAGGCCTGAAGAGCTCAAACATGAAGACACTTATAGAATTCCGATGGCCCGTTCAAATTAAAAGCATGAAGTACCGGACCCATAGACAGGGGGCTCCCGCTTGAGACATCTTGAAACATCCCAGCAACTCGCTCACAGACGAGACTCCAGCCTGTGAATTCCTCAGCATTCACGCCTGAGGAGATCGAAAGTGACGAGGGTTACAAGATCCCGATGGCCCGCTCGGATTAAAAGCATGAAATGCGAAATCCAGAGGCAGGGGGTTCCCGCCTGAGACTTCCTTGCAAGTCACTCACAGACGAGGTTCCCGCCTGAAACTTCGTCAAGATTCATGCCTGAGGAGCCCAAAAATGACGACGCTACAGAATTCCGATGACCCGCCTCGGATACAAAAAACATGAGCTGCGGGCCCCACAGGCAGGGGGGTTCCGCCAGAGGCTTCCTCGCAATTCACTCACAGACGAGGCTCCCGCCTGAGATTCCCTCCATGCTGAAGACCCGTCTCGGATTAATTCATGAGCTGCGGGCCCCGTAGGGAGGGACCCCCGCCTGAGGATCCCTCGCAATTCACTCACAAACGAGGCTTCCGCCTGAGACTTCAGCCCACCCCCTCGTGTACTCATGAGGGGGTGAGTTTTGAGTGAGTGGGTGAGTGAGTGAGTGAGTGAGTGAGTGAGTGAGTGAGTGAATGATGATGATGATGATGATGATGATGATGATGATGATGATGATGATGATTATTATAATGATAATGATGATGATGATGATGATGATGATGATGATGATGATGATGATGATGATGATGAAGATGAAGATGAAGATGAAGATGAAGATGATGATGATGATGATGATGATGATGATGATGATGATGATGATGATGATGATGATGATGATGATGATGATGACGATGATGATGATGATGATGCTAATGATGATGCTGCTGCTGATGATGTTTTGGAACTGATGATGAGTGTGTGTGACTGTGTGTGAGTACGAGGTGTGAGGCTCCTGCGCGGGGGTGTGCAGAGAAAACAATAATCTCACTTTGGATGTGGGGAAATAGTCAAACATAATATAACACTCTTTCCCATACTTTTTTGGGACCATTTTCGAATACTTCTCCTGTGGAGGGACGTGCCCAACTTAAGGTCAACTTCCAGGACGTCGCAGACCCCGTGGGCGTCGGCACGGCGGGGCTCGACCCCGGCGGTGGTGGCGTCGACGGAGGGCAGGGCCTGCTCGGAGGCCCTCTCGCGCACATGCACCGCGAGGCGGTCGAGGCGGCGGAGCGAGCTCGTGCTGCCGCTGGTGAGCTCACACGGGGGGCAACGAGAGAGGGGGGACTGGCATAGGGGGGGGATGCATCGGCCTGGAATCGGCGATACATCGCCGATAGATCGGCGAGAGGCCCCCGATTGTGAATCCGCACCTTCTTCCTGGGCGGGTTGGGGCTATCGGGCCCCTATCGGCGATCAATGGGCGATTAGGGGTCGGGGGTCGATGCATCCCCCCTGTGCCTATCTCCCCCTATCGTTGCCCCTGATGACAGCTGCCGACTTCGAGGACGCCGCGTTTCAGGCTGGGCTCGAGCGCGCCGTGGAGAGCGAGAACAGTCAGGCTGCAGTCGCCCAGTACCTCGCCGACCACCACACCAGGAAGAAACACCAGGTTTGACGACGATGAGATTTTCGTGGTGGACGAGGATGGGTATGGCTGGCCATCCCTGTGCACCGGCGCAGCCCAAGCCCCCCGAGGTCGTGGGCTGCGCGCACCTCGGCTCGGAACCGTCGCCGTTGCTACGGAGCTCGAGCGATTCTGGCATTCCAGCGTCGTGGACGTCGATTGGCCTGACGCGGGCTTCTTCATGCCTGCTCGTCCAGACGGTCGCTCTTCGAGACGGACCGTGATCGACCTCAGGAGCCAGCCACCGATCGGGGTGGGAGGGCCCACGAAGAGGACTCTGGCACAAGAACGGCGGCCCGAGGGTCCAAGGACACAGGCACCCGCGACGACAGGTGCCGCACTCCGCGCTCCAGGAAAAAGGGGGATCCCGCAACAGACGAAACCCGCTCATGAGTCGGGTACGCCCTTGGATCCGCGTGTGGGGGACCCTCTGCGGGGAACCGCTGGAGTTAGGTCGGGCCAGTCCCCCTACAGGGGGATTTTGGACGACAAATTGAAAATAGGGGGAAAATACTCCCCAAATGCTCAAAAATACAACAAAAGAATCGTCCCCGGATTATTTTCTGACTATTTTCGAGTATTCCGCCTGTAGAGGGGCAGGCCCGACTTGACGCTGGAGGAGCGCCGCAGCGCACCGCGCGGAAGCCGTCCTCTGCGTGGACTCTCTCCGGGGGTGCGGGGCCAGGCGGCCTGCGGAGAGAGCAGTTGCCAAGAGCTGCCTGACGGCGGCCAGGAGGCGAGCACCAACGGGGCGACTTGGGCTGCTGCAGTCAACCAGTATAGTGAGGATGCGCGATAAGGATGCAAGGGCCTTGGACGCCCATTTCGAAGCTTTTCGAGCGGGGCGCGGCCAGCGAAAGCGGCGAAGGATAGACCGAGGAGGCAAGGATGCAAGAGTACCCTTGGGAAGGTTGCCCATCCTTGCAAAAAACTGGTTGACTGTACATCCTTATCCCCACCTGGAGCTCGAACCGAACTCAGACGTCACAGTCGCAAGGCGTCGACGGTTACGAGAGACGGCCGCGTGAACGCCAACGCGTGGAGCAGCTTCGAGAACGTCAAAGACTGGTACTCTGACAGGGGCCACGACGAGCTGCAGCAGCGGTCGGCTACGAGGTCCCTCACCCGCAAGTGTTCGCCGTGCAGGAGACGCGGCTGAAGGGCGCGAACGCAGAGGAGCAGGCCATCGGCTGGGGAGCGAGGGACCGTCTAACAGTGCAGCTCGGCCGTGCCACTGCGACAGAGCCAAAGCCTACAGAGAGCTCTGGTGGTGTCGACATCGCACTCCAGCCCTACGTGCCGTCTTGCCAGGTGGCTCTGGAAGAGCCCCCTTGTGCAGCACAGCCACCGAGTGACCATTCGCCGCTTTAAGATTGGGTTCCTGACTGGGCTACTGATTGTGTCGATTACCTGGGTGTAAAAGAAGGCCTATCTGGGCCCGGGAACTGGAAATTTCTCAAGAACCTCGCAGTGTATCTCCAAGATTCTCCGTGGGTGATCTGGGGCGATTGGAACTACACTTCTGCTGCGCTGATCGCGTCGGGCTGGCTCAACATGTGCGCGGGCGTCATCTTCCAGCCCGACAGCCCCACGTGCTTGACGAGGCAAGAGGTGTTGGGGGGGTGACGGCTCGGAGGAGTGGGTCTCGGTGGAGAGTGAGATCGACTTCCTTGTGGGAGCCAAGATCCTGAGGCACTGCGTCCACCAGGTGGTGGCCTCGACTGGGCCATCTCGTTGCCGCACGCTCCCGTCGTCGCTGTCTTTCGGAGCCTCCCGGGGGAGGGCCTCGCTCAGGAAGCCCGAGCCGTTCAAGAAGTTTCCCGTGGTCCCCGCGGTGGGCCCCCCCCACAGGTTGCCGCCTGAAGACTTGGGGCCCGAGGAGGCACCCGACTGCATCGCTGGAGCCATCAAAGAGTGGCTCAACGATTCGGAGGCATGGCTCGGAACTGTCCACAACGCCGAAGTCCACCACGGACCACGGCATCGCAGTCCTTCCTTCTCCTCCTCCGCCCCCCCCCCTCCTCCTCCTGAGAGGGGGAAGGCGTCAACGGGCAGGCCTGGAACTTGCTCCCAGGGTCGGGCCGGAAGAACGGCTCCGCCCACTCCTCAAGGGACGGGGGGGGGGGGGGGCACGCGAGCCACGCCTGCACCCGTGCTCCCCTCCCCTGCCCTCCTCCAGGTCCTCCACCTCCTCCTCCTCCTCCTCCTCTCCTCTGTCTCCTCTCCTCGTCTCCATTCGCCCATCCACGTCTTCGGTCTCCTCCTCCTCCTCCTCCGCCTCCTCCTCCTCCTCCCTCTCCTGTGACAATCCCCCCAACAAGCTCTGGACGGCCCACACCTCCCTCCTCAGGACGCAGCTGGCGGTGAATCGCTGCTCTCGACGAGCATCCAAGCGACGACAATCTACTTTCATCACCGTCATTAGCCGCCCCCTTGGCCCCTGGCACGTTGAGGCGTGGAGCAGTGCCGAGGCTTGCCTTGCAGGATTTTTCTGCACTCTAGTAAGAGACGCCTCCCCCCCCTCTACCTGCGGACTGCTGCATGCATCGCCCCTCCTTATCCGAGGCCACTCCAACTCGTACACGCTCGAAGATGGTGTACTTCCCGCACGGCATCTAGTGCCTGAACCGTCATTCCATGCGCGCCCGCTCGAGGACCGTGTACTTCCCGCAGTCCCGGGCGCTGCTCGCAAGCGCTCCATGGCCTCCCAAGCCACGACCCCTCGTCACAAACGATGGATGTGTGTCCCGAGTTTACAAGACGGGCCGTGCAGGCACTCACGGGCACCAAGATGGCCCAAGATGCTTCGATAACTGCCCAAGATGCCTCCAGGGAGACCCAACATGGCCACACGGGGACCTCTAACAGGGCCAGGCAAAGCCATAATCATTGATGTCCTGGCAGCTGTTGATGATGTTTGTATTCAAACCATACCCTCGCTGTGGCGCACGATCCGCGGTAAGGTTGTGCCGAAATGAGCATGGGTCCGCATGCGGGCGTTCCCACTAGGGCCGATTACGCGGATGCCGGCGACGACGAATGACTCCGACGGCGACGCCGAGGATGCCGCCGACGACTCCGATTTCCGACAACGACGAAGGCGCAACGACGACGGCGCGACGACTCCGACTCCGACGACATTGGCGGACAACTCGGCGATGCCGACTCCGATAGCGACGACGACTCCAACGATTCTGATTCTGACTCTGGCAAAGACGAAGGCACCTATCACGACTTCGGCGAACGATTTCGATTCCGACCACGATGGCGACCTTCCCGCTGGCGACGCAGACGACACCGACGACGACGCCGACGTGTCCGACGATGTCTACGACAACTCAGACGATGACGACTTTGGCGACGGCTCCGACGACGACGACAACAACGGCGATTCCGATGATTCCAACTTCGATGGCGACGTGACCCCGATAAGTCGAGCGACTCCAACGACGACGACGACGACTAGGACTACAACTCCCCCGACTATGGCTCTGACTCTCATTCAAAGACGACCCCAGATCCGAAGACGACGACCCCCGACGAACGCGACTCCGACCACGACGACTCCGCCGACTACAACGATGGAATCGAAATGGACGCACTAAATGACAAGGGCGACTACGACTCGAAGGCCTCCGGCGACTCCGACGACTCTGAATCCAGTTCTGGCAAAGACGACGACTCCGACAATGACGCCGACGTCGACGACGGCAACAAACACGAAACCGACGACGACAACAACGACGAAACCGACGACGACAACAGCGACTCCGACGGCCAGTCGTCGGAGTCGCCTTTGTCGTTGTCGGAATTATCAGCCTTGTCGTCGGGGTCGCCGTCGTCGTCGTCGTCGTCCTCGCCGCCGTCGTCGTCCTCGCCGCCGTCATCGTCGTCGTCGTCGCCGACGTCGTCGTCGTCGCCGTCGGCCTCGTCGTCGTCGTAAGTCGTAACTCGTCGGCGTCGGAGCCATCGTCGCAGTGGTCGTGAGAATTGCCGAAGAAGTCGTCACCCTCGGGGTTGGAGACGTTGGAGACCGTTGGAGCCGTCGTCGTTGTCGTTGAGGTGATCGTCAAACTTTTCGTCGTCGCCGTCATCGTCGCCAGTCGTCGCAATCGTCATTGCCGTCGTCGTTGCCGTCGCCGCAGTTGTCGGCAGAGTCGGAGTCGTCTAAGTGTCGGTGTAATCGTCGTCGTTGTCGAAATTGCCCTCGGTGCTGTCCGCGGAATCACCGGAATCGGAGTCAAGGCCTCCGTTGTCGTCAGAGTCGCCCTCGTTGTCAAACTCGTTGTCGTCGGAATCGACGTCAGAATCGGAATCGCTGGGGCCATTGTCGTCGTTGGGCTCGGCGTCGGAATCGCCGTCGAATTTGTCGTCGTCGGCGTCGTCACTAGAGGCGGAGACAAAGTCATCATTGTCGGACGCATCGGAGTCGCCGTCAGACTCATCGCTCGAGCTGTCGTCGGAGGTGTCACCGTCGTGGTTGGTGCCGGAGTCGCCGTAAGGGTCGTCGTTCTTTGGAGTCGTCGTCGGGGTCACCGCCGTCGCCGTCAGAGTCGTCAACGACATCGTCGTCGTCGTCGTCGTCGCAATCGTCGTTGCCAGGGTCGTCGTCGGAACCATTGTCTTCGACGTCGTCACCGCCAGAGTCGTCGTCGCTAGAGTCGTCTACGCTTGCACCAATGCCCCCTCGCGCTTGACCTTGGCAATCCACGTGCGTTCGCGATCGACGCTCGAGCGACGCTACCTATGGGCCCCTGCTGCCGAAACCCTCCCCCGTATCACGCGTCTCCCCGCAGTCGTGTCTTGGGGCTGTTGCACCCCCATGCCATGCCTTGGGTCTGCTATCGCGGCTGCCCTGCGAGGGGGGGAGGGCTGATATGCAGAGTTCATATATATATATGTACATACATACACACATATGCATGTATGTACATATATATATATATATATGTAGAGAGATATATGTATGTATGCACCCACGTGAGACATATAGAAACACGCATGCGCGTACACATGCACATCCACATGCACGCATGCATGCATTCACACGTAAATTCAGACATACCGACATACAGGCATACATCAAGTATAACCGTCATTAACAAGTTGTGATACTACAGAACCTTCTCGTTGCGTTTCTGCGTTGCGTAGACGGCCCTCCAGAAGCCATGGGCCCAGCCCAGGAGGCCCGCCAGAAGCCTTCCCTTTGGGCCCCAGCGCCCAAGATGGCGCCAGGGCCCGCGTCCTGCGAGGGGGCGAGATGGCCAGGTGATGCCTCATGCGAACTTCCCGTGCGAATTCTGGAAACCTTTGACATGCTATGAGAAGCTTCGAACGAGATTTTCGCTCGAGCTTTGGAACGGCATGGCCTTGCACGACCCCGTAAAACATATGGTATCGAAGGTGGTGTTGGGCATGTCTAACCACAGTGGTATTTTTGGGGGGGCGCTCGCGCTCGAGCGTTGAGGGGGTGTGTTATGTCAAGGGTACTCGTTGGCTATGCCGACGAGGTCATGCTGAGGACTCTGGTAATTCTCGGTGTTTGCGTAAGGCAGGGGAAAGATGCGGTTCATACAAATCAGATCGGAGAGAGTCCTATTGATGCCGCAAAACCAGATGAAAGTGTCTAGGACATGTGCAACACCATCTCACGTCTTTGCTGCGTCGTCACCGTATCATCACCATCGCCGTACTCAAATTCGTCGTCCTCAAAATTATCGTCTCCCCCGCCGGGTCTGTATCATAGGATGATGAGGAGAGGAGGAGGAGCGATGCAGAAAGGGGTAAGGGAACAAGAAAAGGACCAAAGGAGGCGGACAAGTATAATGCAAGAAGACTGGAGGACGCGTAGTGGGAAGGTGGGGATGTGACTTCAGCAAAGCAATCAATCAGTAGGTTGAGATTAGCACGTCGGCAATAAGAACCCCCGCGGATCCCAGTCAGAATTCCCTACCCGGGTGCCTTGGGGGGGGGGGCATCGGAATCCGAATCCAGATCCGAATTCTCTACCCCAAGGGGGGGGGGCGCCCGAGTCCGGATCAGGATCTCAATCAGGAAATCGCTTTTTCTTCGGGCATTGGGAACTTGGATCTTCGCAATCCGGATCCGGATCCGGATCCTCTACTCGGGTCCTTGGGGGGGGGGCATCCGAATCCGAATCTGGATCCAGATCCTCTGCTCCAAGGCTTGGCGTGGAGGGGGCACTCGAATCCAGACCAAGATCCAGATTCAGAATGCGCTTTTTCTCTGGGGATTCGCATCGTCAATTTGGATCCGGAGCGGGATCCCCCACTCGAGTGCTTGGGCGGGGGGGGGGGCAGCCGAATCCAAATCCTCTACTCTCGAGTGCTGGACGGGGGGGGGGGCACCCGAGTCGATATCTGGATCCGGATCCGATCTAGATTCGAATCCAGTGCGCTGTTGCTTCGAGGAGGAGGAGGAGGAGGAGGAGGAGGAGGAGGAGGAGGAGGAGGGAGTGCGGGGAGTTCGGGGAGCTCGAGGGCCCCCCCCTGCCCAGGGGGGGGTTCGAACTTAGGGGGACTCGGATCGCGGATCACGCGAATCGGGATCCGGATCAGGGAGGCATCCGAATCTAAATCGGGATCCCAAGCGGATCCAGATCTGGCATGCGCGCTTTTGATACAAAATCTTTTCCCTGAGAACCCTCTCTTCAAAACCGCTTCCCCGGAACCGTTTTCCTGGAGGGCCGATTCAAACTCCCTGGAGACCTCTTCCCCGGAGACCACTTTCCCGGAGGACCGTTTCCCCGCCCGGAACCGTTTCCCGGAACCGTTTCCCTAGAACCGCTTCCCCAAAACCGCTTCCCGGATCCGCTTCGGCTCCCCAGAACCGCCTCCCCGGACCCTCTTCCCTACATGGAACCGTTTCCTATGTGCACCCGCCTCCCCAGAACCGTTTCCCCAGACACCGCGTCCCCAGTACAACTTCTCGAGGGGTGATGAGGAAGGGATAAGCGATGAGGGAAGGAGGAATGAGGGAGGGAGGGAGGAAGGGAAGGATGAGGGATGAGCGATGAGGGAGGCGGGAGGGAGGGACGAAGGAGGAGAGAGGAAGGGATGGATGAGGGAGGAAGGTGAGGATTAGG